GAATGTAGGAAACCTGCCTGCTCACAAGCTCTCTCTCAAAGTTGGTACTCCTATCATGTTAATGCGCAACTTAAATGTTGCTGAAGGTCTCTGCAACGGAACTCGACTAATCTGTCATAAATTTCAGCAGCATGTTATTGAGACTAAGGTCATTACCGACACACATATTGGAAATCATGTGTTTCTCCCTTGCATTACTCTTACCTCTTCCAATTTAGACTTGCCTTTCATTCTTAAACGTCGCCAGTTTCCCGTACATCCTGCCTTCGCTATGACCATCAACAAGGCTCAAGGTCAAACTCTCTCATGTGTAGGTCTATATTTATCCAATCCCGTGTTCTCTCATGGTCAATTATATGTAGCCTGTTCAAGAGTAATATCACGAGAGCAATTAAAAATCTTAATCGAAAGAAAAGAGATATTATCCGCAGATCCTAATTGTACTAAGAATGTTGTATATCCGGAGGTCCTTGGCAATATCTATAACCCACTCTATAACTACTCGACAGAAAGTATTCGAACACCTATAGAAATCGCATAAAAAAATAATTTTAATAATACGAGATGTATATATTAGGACAGTTTAATTTATTAGCTAGCGTACCATTTTATAAAAATAGATTTTTTATCCAAGAGCATTAATTATGACTTTATTCTTACGTTGTAATTATTGTTCGTTGTTATAAATAGATTTTCACAAGGTACATATACGATCAAGATAGGCGTAAACAAAGGAAGATCGACATCAGATAAAAGATAATTCTTTGATTTGACCAGAATTACATAAATTCAGCCGGCATTATAATGATCGCAAATCTAGATTTAATGCCAGCCAGCATTAACTTTCTTCAAAATTCTAATCAACGTGTTTTTGTTACCGTTACGTAAGTAACGGGTATTATACTAGTTGTTAAAGTAAAATAATTGTAATATTACAGTATATTGTTATTAGTAGAATATAGAGATGATGAAAAATATTTCTTAACAAAGACTTATTAAATTTCATTTTAATAAAAGAAATTGCCTAAATAGATTTTTTGCTCTCAATTAAGAATTGATTGAATCATTTGAATCCTATAGTTCAAGCCTAGAATTATTCTTTTCTCTTTTCAAAAGAAAGATATACTTTTGATATGTGAATTGTTTACTAATAACAATTCTTTGTAATTATTCAAAAAAATTGATTATTGACAACAAGAAAATAAACTTATAATTGCGAAAGAATGCACTGTAATTCGGATATTAATGCAATCGTAAAAATAAAATGTTAAATATTAAATTTTCACATGTGATGAATGAAAGACGTGTTATATAACACGTGTCAAAGTGTTAGAAAACTTTGATCATGTGATTCGTTTTATGTATTAAAGGGCCCAATTGACTTTTTAAACAATGCACATGCATGTCAACTTTGACAGATAAAAATGGCACTTGTCCAATTCGTAACTTTCTCCTCTGCCGTAGAAGCGTCCTTTTGGCATAATTTATCTACGCGTAAAATTGATTTATACAAACTAGACGATGCCCCACAAAAAATTGTGGGATATTATACCACCGGTCATCTTCTACAATCACAAAATTCCACAGAAGCGAATATCGCAGTACCGGCGCGTTTGTGCCTCGGAACGGGTGCTTTTTACGAGGATAATGACGAATCATTTTCGCGGTAAACACATATCCTTAGTACCTATTCAAATATTATTTTTCCAGTCGGTTTATATAATTTATATTTTTTGTTACAGTCTGCCAGCATTTTCATATCCTTCGATCGGGACGATTAAAAATACAAACACCATTGAAGAATTCAAACAACTGGATAA